GTAAACACAACGTGAATAGATGTTAGTGACTTCCTAGAAAATCATTGGGTCAGTTTTTATGGCTCGTTGAAAAAAATGGATTGTTTTTGTGTATATCCAAAGCTTCCGGGTAATTATTTGTAATTTTCCTACTAAGCTCATACTCTGCATTTCTGGTAACTATAAAGTGTGTGCACGGACGTGCACGTTCGAAAATTGAGTGTTCCAGTAATTAGACAGAGCTGCGTGTGTGGGGAAAGCACGCAGCGTGGCCCGATGCCAGGGGACAATAGTCGGGAAAGCACTCAAGGCCACTGCAACAACAATAACAAATGATGAGACGACGATACTTTACAGCCCTTTGTTTAGTACACCGTTCAACGAATGCCTCCCGACGATGCGTCAAATGTGGGGGGTATTTGACCCAACCTCACGACGGTCAATGTGGGTTGGTGAAGAGAGGCGGGGTGGGGGGGGCTCAAGATCATTGGGGGTGCAGCCAAACATTGGAAGGTTGGGGGCGTCCCCCCGGTGGTTTTTGGCCACATTACAGATGCAGAGTTGTTGCCCATTATTTGTTCATGCTCCCATTGATTACAGTTGCCATGATACACGTCGCATTGGCACACCTTATTTCACGTTCGTTTCACTTGTGTTGGAGATAAGGGGACAACAAATTTCTGGTTTTTTTTTGTGAAACTACTGCAGCATAAGCTTATGAACATAACAAAATGTAATTCAATAAAATAAGAAAAATACACATTTCTTGAGACTTTGCATTGGAAATATCCACGAATTATTTCCACTTATGACAGTCTTGGATAGTTTTGATGTATGTATTAAGTTACGATCCTGTACCTTGTACAAACATACTTTACAACTTGCGAGTCCTATTATCCGCCGGTGATTCGCACTTTATTACTTATTCGTGACAAACAAAAAAATACGGCTGCTCGCAAATAATAGGATCAATTTGCCACTCAACAAGCGGAGTTGGGATGTTCCTGGGACATTGCATTTCTATGGTGACGCTATAAAAGAGAATGGTGTGGACAGCCGTTGGCGCTTGAGTAGATGTGCGTGTTGGCCGTGTGCGCTGGCTTTGCGGTAATGTGTGGCCGACTGTGTGAATGCGTTGTGTTGACCACACTCTGCACCGTTGAATATTCTGTGTGTGTATTCAGTGCGAATGTGGGTGTGCGTACTGACAAAAGGTGAGCGGTTAGTTGTCGCGGTTTGCCCACTGCGCGACAAACTCGGCGACCCGAGTTTGATTCCCGCTCACTGCCAACATCAGTGACGATTATCTGAACCGGTCCTGGGCCACTCGTAGGTTGACTCGGCCTCAAATGAGTACCTGGTGCCATGTGAAAACATTGGTACTGGGGGCGTGATGCTGGCCACCCGCCACCTTGTGGTGTACCATGTCGGCCTTCATAGTTGCTCGTTAACAGCTCTTGCCGCAACAGGCTATCAGGGAGATATTTGTCCAGTTTTGTGCTGTGTGTACTGACCAGGGGTGCAAAATATTGTGGGTGTCTCTGAGCCATATCCAACAATGTTGATGAGGGTGTAAAGGACACCCAGGACACCCACAGTGACTGCACCCCTGCTCAGGACCGGTCAAGGTACCACTCACCATTGATATTAGCCATGGCCGGGAATCTAACTTAGGTATCTGGGTTCATGGTGCTGCGCATTAATCACTGAGCCACCGCTCCAAACCGGAACGCATGCATACTGTACACTGTAATACATGTAACCCAATTCTTCCTGGGGGAAAAAAAAACATGATTTTATTCTTAGTGTTCTCGCCTGGTTAAACAACCAAGGATCTGTCAGTGTACACGAAGCCGATGCGCACATATCCTTCATAAATGGAAAATGAAATACAAGGCAAAGTCGTGCGATTGTGTCCATGCAACTGTAGTCTGGACTCCTTCGACGAACGAATAACACAACTACACAAACGCCCTTCAGAAGCCCTCTCGTCGTGGCTAGCAGACCTCGACATTACCACTGTAATGAATGTTCATCATCATCGGCCATGATCAATCCATTGCTGGATGGAGACTTCCCCAAGTTGTCACCATCAACTATCACAGCATCGGGACCAATTGTTGGAATAAATGTCATGGACTTGTTCACTAAACATTAAAAAAATAAATGAAGTACCTCTATCATGCAGTGGGGACTCGGACATCCGTAGATTCAATCAAAGTTTAGATTTGCCGAATGAACCTTATGTGAACTATTCGGAAAAAAGAGATTTGAGGATGAATTCTATGACAAATATGGACAACGTTAAAAATAGCACTGGAATGATGAAGCAATTGGTCGGGTGCAGTGTGGCCGAGTGTACGGGAAGCGATTGCTGAGATTGCTGCAGTACGTGGGTTTGGTTCACATGACGCATTGCATTACAACATGAACTACTAAATTTGGTCAACAAATTTTATTTCTGGAAAACGTGTAAAAAATACAATTTGCATAACTACTGTGCCATGCACATACCTATAAAAATATATTAATGTATAAATGCGCAAGTGTGTATTAATCTTGAGTACTGTACTTTATTTGCTTACACATTGTATACATTTAATGAACAAGGTGTCCATATTCTGTTCGTGCTGCGCTATCCGACTATTTAAACAATCGATTATTCTCCCGATTATCAGTTAGATTTCTGGAAATATCTGATAACATGCAAAAAGTTGATGAAAGCTCTCAACTGTGTGCCCACGTGTGCCACTGGAAGGCAGGTTATGGACAAGGATTGTTTACGTCATCAGTATTATCAGTTGTATCTCGCCAGGCGTGGTTTGTAGGGGTTTCCTGCCTTCAGTAATTGACCACAAAAGTGATGATTTTTTGTACATTTTGGTTGATTGATCGACGTAATTGACTCATTGTCCCAGCTGCACTGTGTTTTCAGCTGTTCTCATTTGCCCTTGGTTTATGCTTTAAAATGATTTGAACATGTCTATGAAAGATTGGGTAAATTATATTGGTGCCAACACTCCAGCAAACATGCCACCGTTGGACCAACGTTACATGTTTACAGGGATATGTCCAGCCTTGGCTTAGCTAATAAAAACAAACATTACAATATTTATATAATTTGGATATATCCTTATCGTTAGCACTGTGCTTAAAGAAAACAGATGACATTGGTATAGGCTCTCATTGATTCATGTCGAATTATTTTCCCCTATAGCCATGAGTTGAATCGCGTGTCGATGAAGTGAAGTTTGATTTGCAATGTAAAGGGTTCAATGTATGTAATGGGCTCGCTGAGCCCTACAGCAGCTAGAGGTCGCTACATTCACCATGGTACAAATTGCCATTGATTCTTTAATCGATTCGCCAGGGGGTGACTCGTCACATCCCTGTTGATAATAAAAATGACCAAACATGCTTCATGTTATAGACATATATGGGAAACTACATGACTTTTTCTAAATGTTTGGGTTCCAAATAAAGTGTGCTATTCGACATATGTTACAAATGCCGGGAACGAATTGCAGAGATGGATTGATGACTTCAGCTCTCGTCACCAGGACAAGCGGATTGAGAGACGAACGAACCGTGGCTGGAGATCGAACTTAGACGTGGACGCACGGGCAATGAACAGCGCAGTGCGCTAACCACTGCGCCACCGCTCCGTCCACCACAAGTGCTGTTCCTACTGTGTCGGAATGTGTCAGCTCACGCCGGCGCTCAACCTCGGGGGACAAGTGTTGGAAACGTTTCGTATCCGTGACGATTTTACGATTGAACTTCTACGACGATTTCACGATTTGTGTTGTTGTTGTTGTTCTAAAGACTCCCACCAGCTAATACTGACATCAGCACCCCCCCCACCCACCCTACACCATCACAGGGAGGAACCTATCGCTCACTCAACAGAGTCATTTAGCAACCAACTAAATATAATCATCAGCAACGGACAAGCAGCAGACATCATCTCTGCAGTCGTGTACGACTGTGATTATCATACCTGTCACCCCCTTATCAGTGCCCTACTTATTACAGACCAATTCAGACCTTACTGGCCACCCCGTGCCCCTTATAAATCGCAACGTTCATCCTGCAAAGTCCCATCACAAGGGGGAAAACACAAACAAATAGACACCAAATGTTTCACTCAATTTCCCTGGACAAGAATACGGGTGAATCGTATGGGTTGATAGGTATGGGTCACCCAGAACAGACCGGTGACGACGTATAACGAAGCAACAATGGCCGATCCACAAATACGAAGGAGACATCTACAGCGAAACCACGCCACTCCTGACGCGGTCATCTTGACTTGACCACCTTAATGTCGTGACATTGTGGCCGTTGCTCTGCACATTGACACATCACCAGCACGTATACGAAAGGAAGAGGCGAAGGTAAGATCGAGATATAGCCACGGGGCCACGGGGGGCAGGGAGGCGGGTTGTTTGGTCATACTTCACCAATTCTGGTCACCGCGGGTTAAGGAGTGAAAATGGGGTAATGCTACAGATCCACGTGTCGCTCGCCACTGATGTTAGCCGTGGGTCAGAGGACAACAAAAGCGTCGGCACCCCGACTTGACGATGATGCACGGATGACCAACATGTTGTAACGCTGTACTACTGTGTTAACAAAGGCAAAGATCCCTCCCCCCCCCCCCCCCCCCGTGTAGCCTTAACATACTTTTGGGGCAAGTGCTGTTCGCGAGTAGCGCTATGAAAGCCGACACAGCAGACGAGAGGGAGTGGGTGGCCAGCACCACGCCCGGCCACCTTTGTCTCACCAGTGGCGATGTACTCATTTTAGGCTGAGTCGACCTAGCGGGAACGCCCAGGACCGGTTCAGATAATCCTCACCGGTGGGAGCGATGAGTACAGCGGTTTAGTGCGCTGTGCTTACGAACCCTGTGACCCGGGTTCGATTACCACTCACTGTGTCAAAACACGCACACACACACACCTAAAGCATGACCACTTTGACGCCAAATGAATGTTGAAAATGCTGTTCTTGTTTCTTACCAAAATTGAGGAGGGGGTCCAAGACTGCTCCAGCGTTTTTTGGCCCTAAATGGGCAATCCTTTCCTTCCTTGCCCCGAGCAGCTGCTGTCCTGCTGGCTTTGTCACACACACACACTCTCTCTGGAGCAATGTCAGGGCGCAATGGCCCTTGCTGCTAGCCACTGAGTAATCATTCTCACCCATCCCCCAGTGCGCCACTCTCTTCACTGCCCAACGCTACTGGAATTTGCTGTTGATTTTTTTTCTCAGTTTGTATGTAGGAGAGCTCCAGTCACAACACATATTTGCTTAAGTCCCTTGAACCTTAGCTCACAACTAGGCGTGTGCGTTGTGTGTGTGTCTTTTCACTCCTGTGCTGTGCCACCCCCACACCGCTGGATGCCACTTTCATCATTTCACTGCTACAGTGCCTGTGTCAATGTTTTCCTTTCTTCAGGGTGGTCGGGATGTCTCGTGACTCCCATTTAATTCTCTAAAACGTATTTTTTTTGTTTAAAGTAAGGTTTATTTAAAACAAATAATGAATATGCAAAAAGGAAAATAAATGTTCGGGGTCAATTAATTTTGGGGTTACGAGACATGTGGAGGACCCTGTACATGCCTCGTCACCTACAGGTCACTGTAAGTAACTTCAGTGAGTCTGCAGGGTGGTCCATGTGCAGATAACCCAATAAAACAAGTAGTGAAAAGTGAGACATCATTAATTTCTAAGCCTCCACTTGTCCCCCACCCAATGCATGAACGATACGCGTTTACCAATGTCTCCTCTGTAATGTACGAAGCTTATCGCTTTCACAATATTCACCCCACGTGCTGAGAAGAAAGCGTGTAATATAAATGCTTCGCCCTGTATTTGGGCGAGATAAGCAACAATACTTGCGACGTGCGAACGCGGTGTCCAACATCACTCATGTCCACCGCACATTTCGTCACTTGTCTCTACTTGCCTCTGTCTTTGTGCCAAAATGCTCAAGCAGTGCCACATATGTCTGGCACCAATCTCGAATGTCATTCTCTGTGAGGTCTTCTTCCTTTCATTGGACAAACCACTAGATTACCATTTCACAATGAAGTATTCTTTTTTGTTGTTCAACTATGGAGGCAACGTCACGTGTGCCCCCTACAAATGTGGCGTTATTTTTTTTTAATGTGTTAACCAGCTACTGTTGTTTTCAAATCAGCAATCGTGATGTGATTATTGCTGGAGATATTGGTTATCAGCTTATTTTGATCAATGTAACATTTAATCATTCAGACGGTTTACAAGTGTAAAACTAAATATATTAAAATGCGCCTTTTTGAACACTAAGACAAGTGTGTGTTTTTGCCTATCTGACAACTACAATTGATGTTAAAATGCAACTTAAGAATCCGTACAGCCTATGAGTGACTGCACAAGTTAAAAAGTGTCAAGTACTCGACATATTTTCACATACAGTAGGCACACGTTCGTAAATTGTAATGGTTGCGTTTGCTTCACAAAACCTGGAGAATGTGATTTATTAAAATTCTAAGTAGGCTTTAGGCTGACTTTGCCTACATACACTTACAGAATAAACACAGCTAGTCAAACACGGGCTCCCCTCCATTGAACATACCGTGGTCTTGAAAAATGTGTGTGTGTTTTCAGTGTTTTCTCACCAAAGTGCACTTTAGAGGCAACACAAAAGGCCGTTGTGTAGTAATGATTTATTTTGTATTAACACTAAAATGACAGCTGTTTCAATGGTAAGAGATTACATAGCCCTCGTACAAAACTGCATTGGTTTAGCAAACGTTGGGAATGATGATACAGTCCGTAGCCTATACGTATATCATGTTCTACAATTATTTTTTTAAGGCGAATGTAAACATAACAAAGTAACATGTACCTTTAACGAATAGTACAAAAAAGGCCTCTTATTAAAAATGTAAAATTTCAACGAATACTTAAAAAAAGTTTCAACTTGGCAGTTATATATGTTTTATGTAAACAAATATCTCCTCCCATGATTTATTTGCGGAGATTGTACACCGTGTATTTGTTCATTACTGCACCACACTGAACAATTAAGTGTTTTAATTTCAGTAATTAAAATAACTTACGACTGTGACCGAATCTCCCAGAATGCACCCCAATCTCGTCAGTTTTCAGAAGCCAAGCAAAGTTTGGGCCTGGATAGTGCTGAGAAGCCAAGGTGTAGTGCGTAAATATCCATTGTTATACTGTACTCATGTATGCTCCCTGCCTTTACCAACCTATACTGTAGTGATCAGTGTGGTGACGTACGGTCAAAATAGTCCCCACAGCCTGTATGGCATGGGGAGCCCCTCATCCAGCAGTGGACTGACATGAGGGGAGTACAATACAAGTCATTATCATGCAGGTGATGCGGGAATGTAATTTGGTACGGTATATGTGGCCCTAATGTCAGGACACAGTGTCATTGTATTTATTTTAACAAATATCGGGTTATTTTTTTAACGAATGTTCAAACTGACTTCCATTAAGATTAATGAGTGCATGAATTATCGTTTGAAATGTATTTCGGACTTTTTCAAAAAGATTATCTTCGAACATTGATCAATCCTTTTTGTTTCAATTAATTCTGGGGTTTTTGGGTATATTTTGTAAACGACGGATTTGAAGTGACCCCACAGGAAGAAGAACAATAGATGATAATAATAATAGAATGAAGAAACAATGACAATGTTTGATTGCCAGTGTTAAAATAAATGAAATAACCCTGTGTCCTGACTTTTGGACCACTCTATAGATTTAGTGTTTTTAAGGAAGTATTGTTGACAAGTGTGTTGCGTATCTTTGTTAATTGTGCTTGTGCACAACGAAATATCCATCGGCATGTTCTTTGTTAGACGCTGGCGAGATGTTAACTACCTCGTCTGGTATACAGGAGGTCGTGGAGTTCGATCCCGACCCTGACGCCTATATATTTGGAGTTTGCATGTTCTCCCTGTGGTCGCGTGGATTTTTTTATCCCGGGTCCTCCGGTTTTTCCCTTCACGTTTATAAACACGCGTTTAGAGTATTTTGCTGCTCTTAAGTGTCCACATGATAATCCACTTCTTTTAGCTATCATTTGTGATAGCCAAATCGCTTCTGAGAAAGAGCTATATAGCTCATTGGGCTTTACCTGGTGATTTTTTTTCATTGCATTGACTTGGCTAAAAACCATGGAGCCACATATCCTCAATGTTATGAGTCTCAGCTTTTGTTCTTTGCCCACGGATACATTTGGTACATTTTGTTCCCGCATAATTTTACATGCACACACCGCTAACACATTTATAAAACCTCATGTTAATATTTTGAAAAAAGAAATGCTGGTAGAAAACGTAATAAATATACAAAACAGTACTGTTAATTCTATGGCTGCTTAGGAATTGGTCATTTGTGGTCAGTTTCAGATAAGGCTGGAATTCCGATGAGGGAGATAAATGAAAAAAATAGCAAATATAAAAACATGTACTTGGTTCATTAGTAGTTGAATATGCTCATGAGCATATTCCTAAAATGTGTATACCACTAGGGGTTCGGTGGTTAGTGCAATGTGCTATGAACCCAGCAACCACAGTTTATTTCCCTGCCACGGCTAACATCAGTGGTGAGCGATATCCAAGCTGCTCCAGCCCCCCTCTAACACTTCACCAACCTGTACCGACCAGCGTGGTGAAGCATAGTCAACAAATCCCTATGATTGACAAGGTGTGGGCAAGCCGTCATCCAGCAGTGGATGAACAATGGCTATTTATATATACCACTAACATTCATGTTGTTGGAGGCAGCGCAATATCATAAGCCAGTTATTGATGGTAGTGCTTTAGAAGGCATCAATGTAATAAAAAAAACTGTAAATGTATCCAACACTTTGATGAGAGTTTGCTTATGCACATGGAATAATGATGCATAACCCAAATGTAAATTATGCTGTACCATCGTTATACTCCCCCTTTACGTATAAACAGTGCATTGCATTTGACAATAGTTCACAGCAGTATGCTCAGCAAACATACCAATTGGAATGGTACATTCATTCCTCATGGAAGGCTACTGTATTCTGCGATACCGTGTTAATTTCACAAGCTATGATGATGCAAGCGTGGCTATTTGAATACTTTACACTACATGAGCAAACTTAGCATGCTATATATTTCTCACTACGAAATTATATAAATACGTTCAGGAAAACAGCTTATTTTTATATGTAGACTTTCACGACTAATGATTCATAAACATTTTTATGGTTAGATCGTGTATGTATAATACCAATTTTTCACTATAAGCCTCCACTACCCGACATAGCCAATCAAATCAAGTTGTCTCGTGAGCAAATACGTGAGCGAAAGTCAGAAATAACTATCTGATCTGCAGATTCGTAGTATTCTGTCTGCACATCGCGTACAGGACTTGTGGTTCAGATTACTGCATAACTTTCGGTTTGACCAGACAACTGCCAAATAGGTGTGGGGTCAAAGCATGCCAGTTTATGGATAACATTTGTAAAAAAAATTGTTTCACGTAAAAAGGTAGTCTTTACCCAAAATGCAGAGGCAATTACTGTAGCTATAACTGGGGACTTCATGTCATTACGCGAGTCGTTTGTAAATACCCTAACCTGACCGTGGTCTATTATGATTTGGTTCACTTGGTTTTGTTAAGTGAATTGTTAGAATTGTATTGTGGTAATTTATTTGGCATCATTGTTAATGTAACAGTTATTTACTGCTCCAGTCACAACAAAATATTATAGCCTATATTGTATTCAGACTATTATAGTTATTTATAAATACTGAGGGTCAAATCTCAGACTTCCAGGGACATTTGGTAGGCCAAACATTAACCCACAGCTCAATGTTGTTATTGAAAAAGACCCTTTAGATAATAGAAGTGACTGAGCATGCTGAAATCAGAAATTATTGAAAGAAACTTCCCTCTTGCACCCGATTAGTGCAGCTAAGATGCTTGTAGTGATAGGTGTCATTACGGGCTATTTGGAAGTGGTAGGCCTGATGTGGCTGTGATCCTCATGTCTCTTTTACAATTTCCACGTATGGTTGAAATAGTCATTGCCACTAAGTCTGTGGTCACTCACTTTCCTTTCTCGCTATGAGCCTGTTGATGAGGGTGCCATCTTTACCTTCTGTAGAACATGGAATTCTTAATCTCTTGTGACTTCCTATAGCCCAATTTGTAATACATGATTAAAAGGCAATCTTGATTTGAAGCTTTCGTGACTGCAGGAATCCATACTCTTTGGTTCTTTCGGTAAAGTCACATAGGTATAAAATAAAATACATCACGACGTTTCGATCGCAACCCAAGCGGTCCTCCTCAGGCGGAAAAAGTATAATCGTTGTAACAGTTATCTCGCTGGTTCAGCACTTCCACTGCTGGATTATATTATTTCCGCCTGAGGACGACCGCTTGTGTTGCGATCGAAGCGTCGTGACTTATTTTATTTTATACCCACGTGACTTTAACCAAAAGAACCAAAGAGTATGGATTAAAAGGCAATCGCCACCAAATCTGTAGTCACTCCCTGCTCTTATGAACCAATACCAATATATACCAATACCCGCCACTGACGGTGACGTCACCACGGCACCTGTGCCAGGTGCACTTTGAGGTCACGTGAAGTGTCGAAGGCTCGCTGACAAGTCACGAGACAGACCCAGGTGCCATGGGCTGACTGAGACGACTGGCAGATGCACCAACTGTGCCCCCTACTTTGCCAACTTGCTTAACTTTATCCGCCCGGCGCTCCGCTCGTTGTTGTGTGCATCACTCCTCTGCTCTCCGTTGTTGCTGGAGGGTGACTGTCTCCAACTGGCCAGTAGCGTCCTTCACGAGCCTCCTGCATAGAGGCCGATCTTGACACCGCTGGTACCAGTCTTTGGCAAGTCCACTCAGCTCCACATCCTCCCGTACCGCATCAGTACATCTCTTCTCCAGCCCGTGTCATGCCCGTTTATCCTACTCTATCTGGCCAAACAAAACCTGCTTGGGCATCGTGTGGTTGGGCATCCATGCTACATGACCCAGACATGGACAACACATAGGTGGTTACACAAAGATGACTCTAAAAGCTCATCTCAACATATATGTACATCATTAGACCTCCTTTGCCAGTACCAAAATATAATAATAGGGTTTTTCCCCATTTTTCTGGCAACAAAACTGAAACCTTTTTACAAGGATTCATGTCTTTGAGCTGTGTGACGCCTTTTGGCGTCCTCTGGTCGAACACCAAATGGGTCGAGGCTCAATAGAAAGCCGTCCCTTGGTGTGGACCAATCAGTTTCAAGGACAATGCATTATATTATCATAGTATGTTTTGTTTGCATTTGACTGCAGGTATTGTGGTTAATGCAGACATGAATCCTTGTAAAAAGGTTTGAGTTTTGTTGCCAGAAAAAAGGGGGAAACACCTATTATTATATATGTGCATTTCTGGAAAAGCCACATAATGACACACCCAAGTCTTGACTCCACCTAAACAAATTCATCAAGTTGCCACAAAGAGGCAGTTGACACTTTGAATAAAGTGTTGAGCAGTTGAAAAAAACCCCAATACTGATACAGGCCCTATGACCTTTGAAATGTAACATCAGAGGAGGCCATTCAAAACCCATTCCATGCCCGCCAGCCAGTTTGTAACAGTACAGGGTAGCTGTCATCAGCATGAGGGATGGAGAGAGCAACCGACAAAAGGACTGTGGGAGGACCAAAGAGGGTCCATAGGAACGAATAGGATTGTGGGACGGACAGAGGTTTGCATGACGGACAGAGGAATGTTGGGAAGCGCCAAAGAAACATAGAGACGTTGGGGTGGCCGTGGGCAGGGTGAGAAAACCAAACAAGGGGACAACAAGGATAGTGGTTGGACGACGAACATTAGGGTCGGTGGGTATTAAAACAGAGAGACTGTAAAGACGACATCAAAACGCATCTGCAACGTTAATTCAAGCTAGGGCAGCCGGCCGCTCCTGCTGCTCCTGGCGGTGCAGGCGCCGCCACTTGAGGCCGTGCAGGAGCGCCGATGCGGCGTAGAGGAGCGCGCAGAGGCAGCAGAGGACCGCCGCCGCCACGTAGGCGCGATGCGGGCAGCGGGATCGGTAGCCCGTGACGTCACAGAAGGAGTGCGCGCGCGCCGCTTGCACCGCGACGGCGCACGCGGCGACGCACAGCAGCGCGCACCCGCAGTCCCCGCACGCGTTGCACAACAGCCAGCCGAGCCGGTGGCTTCCTCCGCCTCCTTCACCGCCTCCTCCACCGCCTCGATCCTGCCGCTTGCGAGCTAATCCCAGGCCCAGCAGGGACGTCGCGTAGGCGGCGAGCGTGAGAAGCCACGAGGTGACGGCGGCGAAGACGACGAAGTGCAGCGCGCCGTGGTAACGCGTGCACGCCACGCAGAGCCACGCCGCGGCGCTGGCGAAGAGCTGAGCGGCGCGCAGCGCGCCCGGGACGCTTCGGGCGTAGGCACGGTCCAAGGAGAGCCGGCTCGCCTTGCTGCTGATGGTGGTGGTGGTGGCCGCCTGTTGCTGCTGCTGCTGTTGTTGTTGTTGGCCGCTGGTGGGGCCGCTCGCTGACTGAGCCATTGCCGACGATGCGTAGTTGTCGACTGTTGTTGTGTTGGTTGGTGGTGGTGGTTGTTAGTCTTCTCGCACAGTACTTGTGCTGGTAGATATTTGGTGGTGGTTGTTGTTGTTTCACAGTACTTGTGCTGGTAGATTTGTGGTGGTAGTGGTGGTTGTTGTTGTTTCACAGTACTTGTGCTGGTAGATTTGTGGTGGTGGTGGTGGTTTTGTTGGTTCCCACCTTTTGTCCGCTGCGCTGCGGGTTGCAACCGGGCGCGGCTCGCTGGAATGTCTCTCTCGGCGTCCCTCCCCGCCGTAGTCTCCTTCACACACTGCCGCAGATTCCCGAAGCGCTTTGGGTTGACTTTATTCGCCGTGTAATCAGCCAAGTATACTGTGGACTGACCGATGATACCGCGTCGATCATATGTACGAGCGGATTGCCCAGGTTCCGTGTTGCTAGAATCTCAGCGCTTGGACGTCGTCTCCGAGCTTACTTGATGAGACTGTGCGGGGTTTTTTGTGTGTGTGTGTGGTGTTGTTGTTGCGTGTGGCAGGCTCCGGGTTCCGTTTCCTGGCGGCTGCGGCTGCTGCTGCTCCCACGGCGTATTTTTATTATTTATATTCTTCCTATTAATGTAAGGGGGTTCTGTCTCATCACGTGAAATTAAAATTACGCTTCGGTGCCTCTTCGGAGGGATTTAAGCAGCGTTTTTGCCGAGTCAAGTGCGACCAGGCTCGGAATTTTGAAAGCTGAAACCGGTTCGGACTTTGCCAGCGTAAATAAATGCGGCTGGAAAATATTGGCTGATGAGCCAAAGTTATATTTAGTAGCGTGGTTCAACATTTGTCCTATGTCAGTTCCCATAACACACCACGGCATATGACCACATCTCCCGAAATGCGCCCCATCTCGTCAAATGTTAACTACCTCGCCTGCTATGCAAGGAGATCGTGGGTTAGATCCCTACCCTGATGCCTGTATATTTGGAGTTTGCATGCTTTCCCCATGGTCGCGTGGATTTTCCTCCGGGTCCTCAGTTTTTTTCCCTCCACAACATTTAAAACCATGCGTTTAGGGTATTTTTGTGCTTTACATTTACACATGATAAGCCACTTCGTTGAGCGATCAATTGTGGTCAGGTCACTTCTGATAAAGAGCTATGTAGGTTAGTGAGCATTACCTGGGGAAAAAAAATTGAAGTTGGTAGTTTTAAATCTCGGAATGTTAATCATGCTGGAGCCCGGATAGTGCATGGATGGGCAATTACCTCTCATAAGCAGGTGTTATAGACTGTGGGTCTATGTTGTGGGTAGTGCAGTGTTTAACGCGCTGCGCTACGAACCCAGCAACCCGGGTTCGATTCCTGCTCACGGCCAACACCAGTGACAATTATTTAAACCGGTACTAGGTCTCCCCTAGGTCGACTCAGCCTCAAATGAGTACCTGGTGCGGTGTATAAACATCGCCACTGGGGAAACAAAGGCGGTCGGGTGTGGTGCTGGCCACCCATCCCCTCCTGTACCGTCCCGGCCTTCATAAGTGCTCGCTAACAGCACTTGCCCCTACAGTCTGTTGCATAGTCCGGTCCTCCTCTGGCAACCTCAAAAAACTTGAAAGACTTCAAAACAACCGAGTACGCGTCATCATTGGCCGCACTCATCCTCGGCTCGACTCACTTGCCTCTCTCCGCACCATCCACTGGCTCCCCATTGCCAGCAGGGTCACATACAAGATCGCCTGCCACCGTGCCTTTACATCTGGCAGATGCCTTCGCAGTGCGGCTCACGACCTCCTCTCGATACCAAGATCCAGGAAGGTCACGGCTATGCGCCGCTTCTCGGCGGCTCCCCACAACAGTCTGGAACGCCATCCCCTCTGCACATCCGCAGCATCACCTCCATTGTCTCCTTCAAGAGACACTTAAAGACTCACCTCTACAACCTGACTTTCGAGTCACTGAGCTTGGCTCCGCACCTCTGAGTTGCGGCCGTTCCGTCCACAAACTTGCGCGCGTTACAAATTGTATTATTAAAATCGAATTATAACATTGATTGTTAAGAAAATTGTTCTTGAGCAGGCCACGTCGCAAGAAGGGATCATATTTATATATTATGACTTATACTTTTATATTAATTAGGCCACATCGCTAGATGGGATGAAGGCCGGTGGTCGAGGCTAAAAATGGAGCGACAGCCAGTGGAGAGAAAACGCCTGTGAGGATTTCAACCCTGGAGATGGAACGACTAAATCATATCGTGCACAGGTGCTCTCGATCTTTACATGACAAGACCGTGAGAGATGGCGATGGCTTGGGGGAGGCCTTCATCCAGCAGTGGAAATCCAGTGACTAACACAGTAATGAGTGCGACGATGGAAAACAAATAGCCAAGATGTGACAAACATTACGTTTTAAAATGAAAGTAATCGCTTACGCGAAACTGACTTCTTGTAACGGAATGTTAAAGCCTGCTGGAGAAACTGTTTCCCGTTTCACCAGCCTCCCTGAGTCATAGGCGCTCTGCTCTAAACATGGATATGCAGGAAACGTGGATGAAAGCAATCAGCTGATTTAGGTGCACACTGCAACCGCTACCGAACTGGCTGCTGGGTTAATGGCAGAGTGCCAGATGTTGCATCACACTTCCAAGATTGCAAATTAACGTTCTTAGCTCTCCGATGTGGTTTCCTGTTATGCCGTTTGTTGTTCGGAATGACATCCGACGTTTTGCTCCACGTGCTGGGATGGGAGCTTCTTCAGTTCCTGAAGTTACCGGGTTCTCAGCATATGGACCAAAACGTCGGACATCATGCCGAACATCACGCGGTACAACCCGAAAACACATCGGAGAACTCTGCAGCACAACCATGTAAAGTGTAAACCATTCCCCGCAGTATTATAACGTTCCTGTTACAAAAAAATTGATGAATAACAATGTATTGATATTTGTCAATCTGCTGCTGTATGAAGGCCTCGCCACACCGTATCAGTCGTGAGGTTTGACTATACTTCACCATACTGGTCAGTGCTGGTTGGTAAAATGGGTGCTTCAGATATCACTCGCTGCTGATGCTAACCGTGGCTAGGAATTGAACCCATGTTATGTTCTGTGTGACGCCACGTTTTGCTGTATGTGCTCTGACGTCACACCAGCTTGCTGTGTGCCTGACACACTACGTCACAACGTGCTCTGTGCTTAGTGACGTCACCAGCGATTCAGAACCGGAGCCTGAACAATATCAGTTCAGACACCGCTTTTACAAATTAATGAATATCCTTTATTGGCAAATTAATAGGATAGCAGAAAATGTCTACATCCTTCCAAAGAACGTATCCTGTTCACCAACGGCATATAATTGTGTACCGCCTTTACATATTTTCGAATAATTATGTTTGCACTCAGTGAATGTTTTATTTCAAAATAAGCCACACGTGACATTTTGGCGAATGACAGACAGTAGCTATAATTGGGAAATACAGTACTTAAAAAACTATGCATACACCATCATATGACACCAATAGCAGCTGTAAAAGAGATACTATTCCGCATAGGGTAACTAAGCCACTCAGATTATTTGAATGTTTACGAATCAGCCAAATATTTATTTGAAAACCCAGTAAGAGATATAGAGAGAGATAGGCAGGGAAAGACACAATGAGATAGACCTGAAGACAGACGTGGAGAGAGATAAAAACAGTTACACAGAGTGGCACAGAGAGATAATGAGACGGAAAAACATGGAGAGATCGACACGGAGACGCAACGAAACACAGAGACAAGACATGAAACACTGAACAGCAGAGACACGCTTCGAAAGAAACTGAGAGATGCACAGAAACGTGGCGAAACTCTAAAATTACAATAGTTTTTCACTTTCAATGTTATGCAAAAGTGACATAGGTCTCGTCATTGGCGTGGGTGAGCTGTGTGGTGTGATCCAAAATATGTATTTTGGTTTAGATCGCGTAAATATATTAATGTCTCGTTAAACCCACCACCCGACACAGCCAATTATTAATGTCTGTCACGTAAACAAAACATGCCAATTCGTTACTAGTACAGCACACTGGTGTGTTGGAGAGCAAAGCCACACCATTTACAATGAGGACGATGTTTCGTACTCAGATTTACGGGCTAAACGCCGTACTCAGATTGTAAATGTTGTGGCTTTTCTCTCCAACACACCAGTGTGCTGTACTAGTAACGAATTGGCATGTTCTGTTTACGTGACAAACCTTACTAATTGGCTGTGTCGGGTGGTGGCGGGTTGAACGATATATTTACGCGATCTTACTCAAAAACCTGTATTAAAGATATTGGTCTCGAAAGCCTACGTGTTAAACTGTGGTGAGATTTTCGCAGTATTGGTTTTGGGGTTTTGTAGTTTCCTGTGAAACCGTGTGGCTTGTTTGCGGATAACACAGATGTTCCCAGAATGTCATACAGCATAACGACCATGTCAGCTTCCTTAATACGTTTTATCTCAAAGGCCTTTATCCATCCACTGCTAAATGCATGTATGTTGAACTTATTTCGCACCGTACGTTGCCAACCGTGCTAATCGGAGGTGTCAACCGTGCTAATTGAAAAGAGGGACTTCAAACCGTGCGGGTCGTGGATGGTTATTTGAACGGACTTCACTACACTGGTTAGTTAATGCGGCTTGGTGTGGGAGTATAGAAGTGCAGTACAATAATTAGCGTTGCAGCACTACTCACCACGCAGCCCTGTAACCTCTAAATAACAACATAGTGGTCACGCAGCGCCTATATAGATTGTAGGCGTCTTAAAACTTAAAGCTCCGTTCGGGAAAGTACCATTGTGGTCGAGCATCTAAGCACTCACTTGCCCATGCCTGAACACACGCCTAACTTTCGAGATGCCGCGAAATCTGGCGCCTAACCGTCTGGTTTAGTCATTTCCTTAACAAGCAGGACTTGCGTAGTGAAACAATTATATTCTCCGCTCACACCCAGTGATAGGAAGTGACACTTGACCCTAGCGACTACATGAACCGTTTGTTTGGCGTGCGCGGTGTTGACCACCGCTCCTAGAGACGGATTTCAGGGTGAGTAACGGCCAGCCGTAGATGGGGGTGGTGGGTCGGCAACTGCGGTCGTGGAATAAAAAAAATCTACGGTCTTCGTGAATTCGCAGTGCCAGCAAGTATCTCTACAGCTGAGCAATGCCCGTGTGCGTCACTGGAGAGCCTTGGCATAACGTTGAACGCGCTCCCGCTATACGAACCCCGCCTACCACAGTTCGATCCCCGACCCCGTCTTACGTCGGTGGACGACGAGTGACATCAGCAGTGTGATGAAATCACCCTGTCCCGGGCCTCCCCTTAGGTCGACTCAGCCTGGTACAACCATGTGTCAATCTACTGCTGGACGTAGGAGGCCTCTAAACTTTGTCGGTCACGGAAATTGTTCGACCATACTTCACCACGCTAGTCAACGTGGATCGGTAAATGGCGAGCGGTGAGTCCAGGATCGGTTGGGATATCACTTGTCAATGATATTATAATTGTGGTTGGGAATTTAATTCAGGTCACCGTGTTCATGCAGCAGTGCGTTAACCACTGCGCCACCGGCTCCACATTATCAAGGGCTTGGCGTTGCCCACACCACGCACTCGTGCGTCGTGCTGACCTTAATAGGCGCTCAATAACGGCACTTAAGTCAATGTTGTATACGACTATACGGGGGATCTTTGTCTTCGTGACACACGGATGGACAGAGTTCAACCACAGCCTGCGTCATTTGCCGGCAGAGAGGCGTGACTCACCGCGTGCGGATTGCTCGTACAACGCAAGTAAAATACTCACCACGGCTATTTGGGAAAGCCCTACCATGTCACGATAGCGCGCTTTGACGTGAGATAAGACCGAATGATTTAGCGTCCTGTAAATTATCACACTTGGTCACTGTCTGCAAAGGCACTCCCTGGCACATGGCTTGCTCTGTAAGTAAAAATAATAATGATCGCCCCCATCCCCCCATTATTTCTCACATCATCATCTATGGATAATTTACAGCTGGATTAAGGCCACCCCACGCCATTGCTATCTCACGGTGTAGCGATGGAACGTCCACGACTGGCCCAGAAAGAGATGTGGCTCCCCCAAACATCGCATGAGCACGTGGCGACTGCGGTTTATCTATGTCTGTACTGCGATCACGTGAATGGATGGGAGCGATTAACACACTGGCCGACGAACCTACCATCAATGGCGAGTGATATCAGAACCGGTCCTTGGTCACCTGTGACCGATAGTGGAGGCGTTTATCCAGCAGTGGATTGGCAAAGGGGCTGTAAGTAATCAATTTCATTCAGCCACTATTGTATATATGCATTCGATGGGAGGAAGCCAGTGTTTGTGGTTGGTGTCTCTATGTATAACGCAACCTACAATAACTTATCATTTATCTTAACTCACGTCTCCCTTGTGAAACAGATATGCTGTCTCAAATTACGGTCATCCGGTTAAATAAAAGAAATGGTTCATGTCAATATAGTACAATGTACATGTTTGATATGTATCGCAGTTACATACGGAGACAGACGGAGAGGGATCCGTTTTAAAAATGGGAACCAGAGTTTTGTGGTGCAGTAGAAGGTTGAGCGCCCCGCACTGATGTACGTCTGGGTTCCAATTCAACCATGGGACTTTTAGTTTGCAGGAGAGATATGTTACAGAGGTTAACGCATTATGATACCGGGCACCCGACTTCAAATAAAGGCCATGGTTAAAATTCGCGGTAAGGGTTACCTGAATCACTCCCCAGCACAAACCCGCAACTGACTAGCGAGCGTGGTTAAGTTCAGTGAAACAACCCCTATGATCGATACGTGGGGAGCCCTTTATCCAGCAGTGGATTGACAAAGGGGATTATAATTATTACTTCAGTAAGACGCTTATTTGTCGACTGATTATAATTTCATTACGCAGTAATAATCCTTTAACATTAACGTATCCGTATAATAATCGTAAGGAGGGAATATAAATACGAATACAGGACCTGCTTAATGAATAAAACACATTTTGAGTGTGCCCAGACATGTGATATTTTCGGATCAAAGAACCGCGTATTGTTCAAGGTGCCAATTTTACCGTGAATAATTATCTTGAGATATCCTTCTAGAATTACCGCGTGCGTATACTTCCAAGGGACGCGTGCATAGAACACATAGAACATGGTGTGCCTCTAAAGAACAGAGACACCGGTCAAAACAAGAAACATCTTATTGTTTAGATTATTTTTGGCACTGGCGCTCCATGGAATAGAGGACACTCAACCACTATGGTATTTGCTCTGGTAAACCGGCAATATTTGCTCAGCACACCTGATGACTGCTGATGATCCCCAGAAGGGTGAAACTGCCCCCAAAATGTACGTGTTTAAACAAACGCTGATGGTGAACAAACACTTTGAAAGGAAAATAGGCCGATGGATTAAAGCCATATTTTTGGTGTACAGACACCTAAGAATTCTGACACGGGTCACAGGGTGATTGATGTATTTATTTATGACAACGCAAGGGCTGTACAATGTACGCACACTACCACCGATACAACAACTTAAAAAAAACTGGGTTCTTTCCCTTGACAACTTAAATACAGTACGGTATACTGTATTTATTGCCTCCACACTCGCACGTACGGTACAACAAACATCCATCCAGCCGATGGTGAAGGTGGCAGTGTGTAGGCCTGCACCAACCCAGAGCACGTTTACCCACAAAGCCCCGTAACGCTACCACACCAACCAAAGAGCTGAATGTGGTCGTCTCGCTCGCCTTTATAGCCGGGGCTATTTTTCGCGAACTCAGGGCCCCTCTCTGCGGGCTTATCCATTGGCTAGGGCGCTAGGCTATAGGACCCCCCCCCCCTCTCGGAGTGGACGTTTCCGCCGATTTGTTCAGCCCCCGTCTTGCCACCCACCCCCCACAGTCCTTGCTCTCCTCCCCCACCCCGGGCCACCACCCTCGTCATCCCTTTCATGCCTGCTGCTGCTGCTGCAGCTGCCGCCTCCACACATCCTGTCGGACGGAGCCAATTGGCGCAAGGCTGGCGGCCACGAGGAGAAGGAATAACGCGCGGCGGTGGGGGTGACGGCTCCATGCGGGTGGGGAGGCTCAAGTTCGCCGAGTGTTAGTTGGTGGGGGCGGGGCTTGGCAGGTTGAGAAGGTGGAGCTTGGCTCTGGTACAGGAGGGCGAGTGGGCGGGGACTAAGTCGCGCTCGCGCGCGCTCTCTCTCTCTCTGCGGCTATAAAAGCAACGAGCACCCCAGCGCTTTGCCCAGCCCATAACCACTCTCCGTCCGAGCGATGAGACATCCTGCCAACGACACCGTGTCAACCGCGCACAGCACCGGCTTCGGCGCGCGACTCTCGGCCGGCTGAACGATGCAGGGCGAAACGTGCGTCCTCCACGCGCTGGCGCCCCGCGCCCCGGCCACCCTCGACGACGACGCCGCCGCCACCTTCGGCGGGTGCAGCCGCCCCGTGAGCCCCGCGAGCCCCGCGAGCCCCGCGAGCCCCGCGAGCCCCGTGAGCCCGGCCGTGACACCTGCGGGACGCGCCAGCACTGTGGCGGGCAGGCGCTGTGCGAGCGCCCACATCTTCTCGGGCGTGAGCGAGCGCGCCGTGCGGGGTCTGTTGTCCCGCGCCGGGGACCAGCAAGCGGTGGAGAGAGCACGGCTGGCGTGCACCGCCGCGTCCGTGTACGGCGGCGGTGATTCCTCCGCCGACGAGACGGAGGAGCAGCTGGCGGTCACCGTGAAGGCGCTGGCGGCGTTGGAGCAGAAGAAGAGCTCGGGATTTAGGAAGCTGCTGCGCTTCACCAAACGCTCGCTGAGAATCATCTGAAGAAAAGCGCCGCCCGCCCGCCTTGACGCCGCGGGTTCTCCCCCCTCGCCGCCTTGGGTCGATGCCGCGTTGACGAGCGGGGTGGGAGGGTGGTGGTGGTGGCTGGGGATGGGGGGAGACGCGAACGGCCACGGAGGGCGCAAGACGTGCGAACAAAGGAGAGAGACGCGCGCCGCATTGCACCAAGCCGCCACCCACCCCCCCACCACCACCCCCCCTAGGCGCGAGTCGCGATTTATTTTGCGTCGTCGTCTTCCCCCGGTGTCGCCATCCTTCCGTTCGCTGGGGGTGGAAGAGAGAACGACGTTTGCTCGCGCAATCTGGAGCGCGAAGGAGCTCGCTCTCCTCTCTCTCTCTCCCCCTGTAGGGGAGGACACACATGGAGAAGGTGAAATGAAAACGCAACTGACTCTCGTGTAATAGATGCCCAGCGTTTTTAAGCGCCCGCGGTAGCCCCGCAAACTGAGAGACGAGCTCGTGGCCGGGAGGAAGAAGAATAAGAAGACCAAGTCGCATGGCGGCGTAATTTGACGCATCGGTGCGCAAATGTGCAGATGAAGGTGGAAAAGGGAGGAAGAAAGAGCGTTCATTAAAGACCGTGAACCCTATCCCGTACAAGATTTACGGAGCGCCGAAAAAAAAATAATATCGGGTCCGAAAGTGGTGTAAAATCAATGGACCACTTTGCCAAGAAAAGATTGAGCTGTTTGCAACGGCGCGCGTTATGTGGTGTCCGCTCGGATTAATTAACACATTATGTATCGCAACTGTTGCTATTGAGGCATAACACGATGATGTTGCCGTTTTACTATCGATAGTATGTGCTGCACCTCATTGTTATGCAATGTACCCGCTGGTGTAAGAAAAAAATGACATGTTAAAACCGTTACCCTTAAATATTTATTTGACGAGACCCATGTTCGCAGATTTTTTTTACGCGATTGTCTCTGAACTATCGTATAGTTCAAAATGATGGTGTAACGATGTGACAATGCCGAAACCTTGTCGATTTTGTAAGCGAGTATTGTTACTGTAATGTCGAGTTCCTTTTGTGTTCCGTTGTGCGGTTGTCCACACGTGCCAAAGTCAGACTTGCGATGTGTGAACACAGCAGGTCTGTGATTTTTTTTAAAAAAAATACATTTTTACAAACTATACCTCACCAAGACCCCGTGTGATATGTTGAACTCACAAACGCCTCATACATACAGACATTAAAAAGGGAAAGTACTGTATACATTTTACTATACAATTACCGCTTAACAGTTAATGAGGCGTTAAGCAAAACGCCCCCAAACCTATTGCTTAATTATGATAATTGATTTATTTATTTACAAAGCAAATCCACCAGTGTCTCATTATTTTTTTAGGAGTGAGAATGGGATTTCTAGCCAATTCCATTACTCAGTTATTTGGAGTGTGGGAGGCAACTGGAATACCAGGAGGACGTACATATCAGGGGATATACAGCTTCAGTGTACACACAGGCAGATTAAATATATCGTCTCAATCCAGTGACTGGACCAAATCACTCCGTAAACCCCACACATTGCTGCACTGCCAATTCGCTGCCCCATACAGCCCCCACGACTACAACGCCTGCGTATCCATTGGCAGTCGCCCATCTCAATACTAACCAGGCTCGAACCTGCTTAGCTTGCAAGGCCCAACGAGATGACATCGTTATAGTCAGGGCGATTTGGTCGTAGGCAAATGTTCCACAACACATTGTGAAACAGTATTTGCAGTACTTTTGTCTCCCGTATGGTACAGTTACGCAGACCATAAGATTTTCTTATTTTTTTAGTAATACGTAATATGTAATGTCAGTTGTGTATATACAAGTACAATACCGCTATCCTAAAACAAGATCTGGTATATTTTAGCCAGTGAGGATATTACACGTTAGTTATACTTGATATGCCATATTTATCACTGAGTAGTGTATATATGCACTTGAAGTATACAGCTAATTTCAGTGTTGAAGACTAGGCAGTACTTATCAAGCACCACATATGGAAGACTAGTAAGTGGAGCGTCATGAAATTGATCATTTTTAAAATGGCTGCAGGCTTGAATTTCAGAGGGCTCGTTTTAAATGTAAAATAGTGTATGTAAGCTAACTACACAGCTTCTCTGCCATGACACCCGATGTGAGAGCGAATGTGGAGAGTCCACAAAGGTTAATAAGAGTCAGCATATAAAGACAACTGAATAATTTAAAATTCCTATGAGAATTACTTCAGCTTTATCATTTTTGACCTGAGAACTTGCAGACTTCAGGTTAATTCCCATCCATAGTTAACATCAGTGGCAAGTGGGGTCTCAGCCGGTCCTGTACAACCCCTAGGTTGACAAATGAACACCTGGTGTGGTGTGTAATTACTACCGGGGAGATAAAAGTTGTTGTATTGGTAACGCCACCTTATTTTGCAGTCCCAAGTGCGCACTGACAGAACCTTGCCCAAATGCAGTGGCATAGCTATTGTGTGTACAGGTCGTGCAACTGCACCAGGACCCACGGGCTACAGTGGCCCAGGCACCAGCCTACAAAAATAGAGGGAATTTGTTAGACAGGGGGCCCTAAGACATTACTTGCACCAGGCTACATCCAAATTACAAAAAAACACTGGCCCCACGCTTAATAGGTCCTTGCAGCTATTCGACGCACGAGCCTATCAGCACTTGGACCCACAATTGTCTGGCTGAAAGGGAGCTATTTGGAAACAGCTCCATAAAAATAGAGGTTCATGTTGGGTAGTGTGAAGTAACCAACGACTGAAGAAATGTAGGACGTCATGTGTGTTTCGTTAGAATTGAACATTTCCCTCGAAATTCATCTTTCCCCCACTCAGTTATAACATTCGGCATCGAAAATATACTCATAACGGAAGAGGCGCGTGTGGTTATGGCTGGAAGGGAAGCTTAGGTTGACACGCCAGCATGAGCAAATATGATTAAACAGTACTCGCACTATGAATAACTCAGACCTCACTTTCATGCCATGGTGGCACCAGGGAATTTAAATGAACCCCTCGTACGAAAAGCATTGCCAATATGGCCTTTATATCACGGACCAATTAGCTCAAAACATAAATTTAAAATTGCATAAATTCCATGGTGCCTTTGCTCATGCACACATTTAGAGAAAATGCAATTGTCCCTTATTTATTGATTAAACAGGACCGTTGTTTATTAAGTAACACTTATAAATGTAGGAATTACATTAATTGGTAATGGATAAATCAAATGATTAAATTGTGATCGATTGGCTTTGGTGAAACAACCTTGCCATTTGAACTATTGTTTTATATCACCATCATGAGCCGTGGTCAATCCACTGCTGGATGAAGGCCACCTCAAGATGTCACCATTTCTCGCATTCCTGGGATGCAATAATCCTTCTAACACTTCTAATTGCTGATTGTCATACACATATACTTTACACGTATGTACATGTTGGTCGAACATTCTTCACCGCACTGGTCAAGGTGGGGAGCATATACATGAGAACAATAACATTCACCACGACATTTGATTTTCCTGCACTGCCTACTGTTTCCCACCACAAAGCACAGCCCCTAAACTGCCAATGACAATTCATAAGAGGTTTTTTGGGTTCGATCGCGTTATTTATAAATGTGTCGAAACCCACCACACCCGACGCGGCCAATCAGCAAAATAAAGTGTCACGTTGACAAAAGACAATTAGTTCACTACTTTAGCCCACCGGTGTGTTGAAGAGTGAATCCACAACATTTACAGTTTGAGTACGACGTTTCACTGGTAATTACACCCAGCATTATCGGGCAATTCGCCAGAATGATAAAGCCCTTACTTGCTCTCGGCCTTAAATAGAGCAGCAGGGTGACGTCATCATTTAACTCATTTCAGGTGCAGTGAATTGAGGCGGAGGGGGGGTATTGTAATTATATAATCGATTGGCAATCAGTCAATGGTTATGATTAGTAATGAGTTGTAGATTGGTAATTAGTTGTAAGGTGTGTTATTGTGATTATATGCTACATTAGTAATCCGTTAATTAATATGTTTCCCTTATAAGGAATTGTAATATGTATTATTTAATGATACGCTGCCAATGACAACCCGGTTCAAACGGTGTTCACACATCCAAACACTCGAGGCTCAACGCTGCTTAGCTTCGGAGATCTGATAAGAAGTTCGACGTGCACGCATTTGTGTGATTTGGTCACAGGCTTACTAATTATCATTAAAGTTAAATGTTTTGCCTCACTGCGTAAGCACCGCCTATACAGAGCCCTGCTTGTGGTGTTGTTCAAGAGCCACGCGTTTAATGTTTCACCAGCTCGAATCATTCGCCCGAAGTGATTGACCCAGCAACAGTGCCTGCATTCAGAAATCCAGAAATATTTGTTAAATTGCACCAAAAATATCAAATACATTGACCCAATTTCACAACCGCAAGCCAAGTGCTAGTCCTGGGTATTTAAAGATGATGGTGCAATTGAAAATGGGTGGCAGCTTGGTTGACGATACCACTTGTAGAAATGCATTGAATAGAAGTGATTGAATGTAAAATCACTATATTGTACAGTACCGTATTTCAGTATTGTTCAGGTAATAACTTTGAACCACATTTTTTAAAGTATCAACGAGACATTCCACATACCGAACTATAATTTTAATTTGTAAAGGCTATCGAGTGTGCAGACCGTGCAACTTGCACAGACGCCCATGAGCCGGAAGGGCTCGGCCCATGCCAACCACAATATGCCGCCGAGGACTGGTCAATCTGAAATTGTACATTGGTGTTGTTAATCCAGATTTCTTCGTGGCTTTAGTGGAAAATGTGATTTGAAAAGTCGAGTGCATTCATTGAGTGAATTAATTCGGAAAAAAAAACAAATCTCGTAGCTATGCATAAGTACAACAATTAACGATTAGAAGCAAAATGACATTGTCCCAAGTCAAACTACGGTGTTGGTCCCAAATGTATTTTTTTTAAACAGGGGTCTACATAAAAATATACATTCAATTTATTTTCTTTTTGTAAATGGAAATACAATCGAAAATGTTTAGGGCCTCAAGGAGAGTGTGGGGAGTGCCTATCGCCCCCTAACCCCGTCACTGGCAACATCCCTTTATTCTTGCAAGCCAAGCTGGGCTGCGTTACAGAGCCCCGTAATATTCATGCCATGTGCCTGTGGTTATAGCGCCATCTGCTGGCTTATCAGCATACCAATCTTTATTTGGACGGGAGGAATCCGATGTGCTCTGGGCGGGTTAAACAAGTTACAAGAAACAAAACAAAAAACGATAATCGTGCAAAATAGAGGAAAATGTAAGCAAGTCACTCACTATGTATGTATGTCTAGGTGGGTGAGCAGTTAATGTCCCCTACTGTGCTGAAGCTTGAAAGGATCTCAGAGGTAGCTCTGTGTTATCCACGAACAATTCAATTCTCTTTGGTTCTATTCGGTAAAGTCACGTAGGTAAAAAATAAAACGACAAAAAATCACGACGTTTCGGCCACAACACCAGGCCACTTGTATATGACTAATGAGATAGGAGACATTAATCGGTGTGGTTATAAGTCAAATTATGCATGTTTTGATTGTTCATGTTCACGTGTTGGTCTTTTTCAACAATTGAATTGTTTATTTCTAGATTTGAAGCTTTCGTGACTGCAAGGATCCATACTCTTTGGTTCAATTCGGTAAAGTCACGTAGGTAAAAAATAAAACACGAAAGCTTCAAATCTAGAAATAAACAATTCAATTGTTGAAAAAGACCAACACATAAACATGAATAATCAAAACATGCATAATTTGACTTATAACCACACCGATTAATGTCTCCTATCTCATTAGTCATATATTTTACTCCGGCCTTAAAAGTAATGCATAAACATTTCATACCTGTCAACCCATACGGTTTACCCGTATTCTTGTTGCAGGGAAATTGAGTTTTCAGGTCTATACGACAAACAGCCGTTTCAAAACGGGCAAAATTTTTTTCTATTCGTATTTCTCCCTTGTGATGGGACTTTGTAGGATGAACGTTGATATTTATATGGGCACGTGGTAACCAATACGGTCTGAATTGGTCTGTAATAAGGTAGGCACTGATAAGGGGTTGACAAGTACAGTATGCCATTTGTACAAATACATACGGC